GTCACCTAGATCTCTATTTAAGCTCTTCATCCTTCATTTTTGTATTCACTTTTGAGATTTATGAGAGCCTTGTTCTTGCAAAATTCTCTCTTCAAAAGTCCTAAAGTTCTTAGGAGAATTTTCTCCTTGAAGGCTCCAACAAGGAAACCTTCCTTGTGGAGCATGGGAACACTTGCTTGCTTCTACTCGCCTAGTTTTATTTCTACACCAACTCCATCCCTTCTTCCTTTGTATTCTTGATCCATATTGTCCATCTCAAGTAGCAAGGAACTAAAGCTTAGGCTTGTGGTTCTTGAGGAGGATTTTCCATCATTCTCTCCAAGGATTACATCAACATAGGTTTAACCATGCTAGACGTGATTTCCATAGGGGCTCTCTGCCTTATTCACACTAGGCACGAATAGATTGGCATTGGGTGTGGGCGAGTTAGAGGCTTTTTGCCTCATTTCATGCTGAGCATAAGGAGAATGGCATTGGGCATGGGTTACCTTTTGAAAACATGTTTATTTCTTGACTAAGTGTTGAACATGTATGTGGTAGTTGTATTCCTCACATGTTGTGTGTTGATATGTGGTGTTAGTTCTTTATACATTGATATGGGATAATATATATTGATGATTAAATTATTGATATTTGTAAGTTAAGTTGTATCTTGAAATGTTTAAGTGGTTGTGTTGAGAATACTTAAGGAATTAAGTTGTGTTGTGTTAACTTAGGACTAGAGGAGAGGTTGTTTTAAAGTTGAATATCCTATTGAGATGATATAATATTGTTATGGTGCTCTAAGATCTTAGTTGTTGAAAATCCTTATTGAGAAATTGACTCTTGAAGTGAATTTTTGAGTCTCCTATAAGACCTTAGTTGATGTAGTATGGGGATTAAGTCGAGCTATATTGTCTATAAATAATCACAATATAGAGGTCAAGTCGAGTTATACTGATTATAAAGCGACCAAATGTTGATCCGTATGGGGCCATGTCGAGCCCTATGTGTACAAAGTGACCAAATAGAGTAAGGGACAAGATGGAGGACCGAAATCCCTACTAAGTACAAGAAGGGACATAGTGGAGGGTAGTCAACGTGCTAATCCCATAGAAGGCTTAGTTGTGCATGCAAAGGTTGTGATAGGCCCACATCTAATTTGTTCTATGCTAATAAGAATACTAAACTCTCTTGATTTAAGTAGCAAAATCTAAGAAACCATATTGTTGTGAGTTTTTTTTATCCAAATTAGTTATTAATATAGCTGTGTGGAAGGCTTTTATGCACAAAAGTTTTGATGATGCCAAAGTGATTATAAAGTATTGAAGAAGAATCAAGGTTGAGCTAAAGCAAGTTGATGCAAAAACAAGATCTCAAGTGTTACGTAGATAGGTCTTGTCAACTTAGCTAAAAATGTAAAAGAATCTTTTAGAATTGCAAGTATGCTTGGCCTTAAGAATAAGTTTCCAAAAACATCAAATTAATCTCTTTAAATTTAAGCAAGTTTTGAATCTTTTGAAAGTAAGTAAAAATGTTTTCAAAAGACTTAACAAAAGCTTTAAAGAATAGTTCAAATCATTTCTTAAAAGAGATTTGTGAAAGAAAGTATTGATATGAAGTTTTCTACATAAAAGTTTTTGAAACAATGCAACAATATGTTCTGGTAATCGATTACCAGCCCTTGTAATTGATTACTAGGAGAGGGAACTTCAAATTTTGAATATTAAGATACAACGTTTCAATTATTTTGAAATTTATAACCGTTATAATTGATTACCAAACCCTTGTAATCGATTACTAGTGTATCTTTTCAGAAGAACACAAAAAGTTACACATTTTGCATGAAAGGATACAACCATGAAATTTTTATCTATAAATATGAGTGATTTTTCTTTTAAAAGGTTAGGAACTCAAATGTGAAAAACTATTACAAAAACTTCTTGGCCATAATCACTTGCAAATTCTTTAAGAGTTCTTTAAGGATCTTCATCTTGTAATACCTACTCTTCAAGAGAGACATTTGTTAAAATTATTCTATCATTCAATCTGTAAAGGAGAAATTGTTTTTCTCTTGGGTGTTTGTGGATCTCAACACAAGGAAAGGAAATTTCAAGGTTTTAGAGGATTCAAGTCTTGTAAGGATTACAAGGATAGTGAAATCTCAAGTGAGAAACTTGAGGATTGGACGTAGGCAAAATTGGTCGAACCAGTATAAAATCGAGTTTGCAAATCCTTCTCCTTATTTTTTTATTTATTCATTTGATTGTGTTTAAGTAGTGTGCATCTTCATTCTTTACATATAAATTTATCTAAGGAATTGAATTTATAAGGAAGTAATTCGAAAAACTTTTAAAAGAGGAAAACATGGAAAACTTAATTCCCCCCCCCCCCCCCCCCTCTTAAGTTATATGAGGCTACTTGTCTAACAAGCTGGTAGAAAATGATCGTGTTGTTAGTTGATTTTGTAAGATTAAGTCAGTTAAACTACTCATTTGTGTTGTAAGAGATCTCTTAGTTAAAATGCATGATAATACATATAGATGTGATGTTGTGCATATGATGTGTGTTAATTGTGTTGTGTTGTTCATATGCATATATTGTATTGTTGATGAGTTGCATTATCATGATATAAGTTGAAGTTGTTGTTGTGTGGTTATGTTGTATACATTAAAATTGTTGTGGAATGTTAACCCGAGGTATTGTTGTTGTATCAAAGTTGAAGACCATGATGAGTTGTGTTGTGTGGTTTATTTGTAGATGTTGGTAGTATAGTTAGAAAATTCTTCTATACTTGTTGATTTCTTTTGAACACTAGCTTATCCTTGTATGTTTCCTTGTGATTGGACTGTGATGATCATATTTATATGAGAATGGGCAAGGATAGGTTAGAGGCAGAGTTGTTTTGAGGCCATACTAGATAATAACGTTGTTGACTTTTTGGGTTACTCTGATGTAATTGGTTTAGCAATATTGCTTGACTAGCAACCTAGGATGATTATTTCAATGCTATATTATTATACATATATATACTTGTGAAATTATTATATTGCATCAATTGTTGGTACACAAATTTTCACGCATATATATTATTGTATATATATTTGGGTACTGTTTGCATGTTAACCTTATATAGTAGTATTTATATTTTTGCTACGAGTAGCTTAACGACAAAGTATAGTGACCTGGTAGATTGCTATACTTTAATTATGTGTAGCAAATAAAATATAATTCCTGTCTTATGAATGTGTTGGTAAGACATTTTAAAAGCTTATAAGTTTATTTGACTAGTTTTACCAACAAATAAAGTTTTTTGGTATATGAGAGTTTATACAAACTTATATTAAAAGCTTATAACTTATTTTTATAAGCTAATTGAAATAGCTTATAACTTATAAATATTTATTTTATTTTTTTGTTTTAATCTTTTTTTATCCTAATAATTTAATTCAAATTTTTTTTTTATCATTTTTAATTAAGAAACTATTTTGTCTATCTTATCTATTTTTGTCTCTCGTAATAATATTTTTTTTTTTTATCATTTTACCTTTATAAATTAATTTTATCAAATATTTTCAATTCCATATGCTAATTTATAAGTTTAGTTTTTCAACTCTCAATATACCTATAACTTATAAATTTTTAACTAGTTCATAAATTAGTTTCATCAAACACATCTTATATGTACAAATAATAAGATACGTTAAAAATTATTATATATATATATATATATATATAATTAATTGTTAAGACATAAATTTTAAAAATTATATTAATATATGTTTTTAATTTGGTTAATTTTTTATCCGTTTTAATTCGATCACTTGAAAATATGATTTATCAAAAATAAAATTAAAATAAACATATTTTGAATAATATTAAATTAAGAATAGAAATTTATAATTATTGCTATTATTATTACGTTATATTTATCAAATACTTGATGTTTATATATTTGTATATTTATCTACATATTACATTTATAGCATTAAATATTTTATTAATACTTTTTTAATCTAGTTTATACTCTTTCCATTCTAAAATAATTGTAATTTTAGCATTTAATTTTTTTTTTAAAATAACATATTTCTTCGTTTTTAATGTAATATACAAATGTTAATTTTTTTTTTCCTAATTTACTCTCAGATAAGTTACATCAATTTTAATAAATTTTGAATAATGCATTTATTGCAAAGGTGAAACTATTTTAGGAAAGTTGTATAAAAAGTAAAACTATTATTATTTTTTAATTTATATATAGAAATTTTAAATCAAAGTCATTTAAAGATGGAAATAATATATTGATATATTTTCTATAAATATTACTTTTATAGCAATAAATACTGCATTAATTTTTTTTTTTCAATCTTTTGATGCATAATTCTCTTTTCTTTTCAATCTGCTTTAGTATTTTGTCAACCTACTTTGTCAAGAGAAACATAATCATTCCTTATGAAATATTAATATAATTAAAGCAGAAATGTTTTTATTATTTATTGTGATGTTATTTGATTTAAACATAATTATATTTAATGAAGATACATGGAGTTTAAATCAAAGTATTAATATAATAATAAAATGAAAAGAAAAAAGAAATCTACAAAAGCCCACATGATAACATTTATGATATTCTTGGTGTAAAAGCAGAAAAATTTACGATATTCTTCTTAAAAAAAAACATTTATGATATCTGGGTATTAATAATTTTGAATTATCAATTCATTGTACATTATGGAAAAGAGTATGACTACTAGAGAACATATGGGTCCTTGTTAAGGAGAGTCACGGTTGTGGGCCCCACCATCCCCCTTCTCAAAAGTATCAACTATGGACGATAGAATCACCCTTCTCCTCTCTCACACATTCTCTTATTAAATTTAATTTCTCAATTATTTTAATTTCTTTTCTTTCTCTCTCATTAAATAATTAACAATTTTAATTTATCTAATTTCTATTTGCCAATTCTCCCTCATCCACCCTGGCATCTTCGTCCGTACTCTGTCCCTTTCCTCCTTCTCTCTCTTCCACCGGCCACCGCCCCAGCCGGTCAGACTCCGCACGTGCCTAGCCCCGCCACACGTGCCGAACCCACCCATACAACACCCTCCTTTCCGTGGTGCAACTAATAAAAAGCGAGACAGGAACACAGAGCAGCAAAGCATATATGGAGAGAGAAAAAAAAGTGTGTTTGGGTGGTGGGTGTGTTGAATAGAGAGTTTCATGAATAAAAATCATGTTTTTTTCTTCTTGGTCTTTGAGACCATGAAGTAGAGGTAGTAGTAGTAGATGAGTGTGTAGAGTTCACCCACCCTTTTTGAATTTTTTTTTTTCTTTTTCATATGTGTTATTTTGTGTCCAGACCTTATTTTCTCCGAAATCCGAACCGAGATCGTTTCTTGGGTGTGTAAGTTTCAAAATTCAAAGAGTTTGAGGGGGTGAATCTGGTGAGAAAGAAGGAGTCCAATCTTGCACCTATGAGGATCCGTAATAGGCAAAAGCCTTTCCCTCTCTTGCCGGTGACTCACTCAGATCCCAACCTGATCAACCGGTCACCGGTCATGGTGCAACTCAACGGTGCTACCACCACAGCCACACCCAAACCTTCTTGCACTCATGGTTCGGCCACTGCACCCTCACGCCTCTTGGATCGTCCTCAGCCGTTTGATCCACCGATCGGGAATCCCATCAACGGTTCTGATGCGTCCACCGGAGAAGCTGGCAGGCAGCACAAGAAGCAAGAGTCTTTGGTTAGTGGAAATATTATTTCACATGAACCGTTTCTAATTTTTGGTCCGTTTTTTTGGGGGTTTCAAGAGTTTCTCAATTAGTGCACTTTTGTCCAACCTTTGACAAGGGGTTGGTGTAAAATTAAAATTACTATTATTTTTGTGTTGTTGGTTTTGATTTTTTATTTTACACTCACAAAGGGGCACATTAGGGGTAGCCATTGAAATTATCCAACCATGTCTTAGTGGATCCCATGTTTGTTTGTTTATTTATTTATTTTTTTGGTGTGATTTTGCAGGTGGAAGATGGGAGAAGGGAAGAAGAGGGAAGGGGACAGAAGGGTAATGATACCAGGTAAGAATTATGAAACCAAGCTAGCTAGACATGAATTGAAATGGATAAAGACATGAAATTATTTCCTCTCTTACTCGTTCATGAAATCTCGTAGTAAAAAAGGTGAAAACATGGAGACCCATGACTCGATTTTAACCAGCATGGAAAATGTTTTTTTTTTTTTATAGAATTGTTTATTATTGATAATTTTTTTAAAAGAAAATACTGTTAGTGGAAATACTGTTGAAAGTGTTTTTAATAAGAGCCTTGTGTAGCCACCACACCCTCTTGTGAAATTTGATCGTTTTTTTCTCCAAATTGGTTAACCACCGTTTGCCCTTGAGGTGCACAAGAGGGTAGAACCAAATGCTGGTCCCCAGTTACATCACATCTCACTCTTTCGAAAACATTACATTCCTTCTTTTTTCATCCTTTCCCTTTTGGCTGTAAATTTTGTGTGTAGTGTTTATATAATATATATGCGGTTGTTGTGTCTTTCTGGCACTTCTTTTGTTTGTAGGAAAGGAAGCTTCTCGTGCTCACAACAAACTCCAGCTGAGACATTTCCATCTTCAAACCCTCCTAAAGAAGGTAACAAATATGCATAATAATGAGCTTCAACAATAATAATGCATGAATTTACCCCTCTCTAGTTTCTTAACTTGGTTGGTGAATATATATTATAAATGCACTCTTCATTTGTTTTCGTACACACCCACCTTAAACTCTTCTCTATCTCTCATTTCCATTTCTCTATTACACCACACATCACGTATCTCCAATCCTTCAAAAGGGTGTATATAACTATATATATATATATATATATATATATATATATATATATATATATATATATATACCCTAAAGAGTGTCAAAAGATATATAACATCATTTTTCATATATGTAGATGGTGGATGGTGCGAGGGAGAAAAAGCTTTTCCTCTCAAGAAACGAAGAGGGAGAATGGAGAATGCAATGGAGGATAACAATAATGACAACAATGATAATGATCACGATAAGAGGAGTTTAAAGATGAAGATGAAGACGAAGATAAAGGCAAAGATGAACAAAAAATGTTCGCGGCAAGATGAAGGAGAAGAAGAAGAGGAAGAGGAGGAGGAGGAGTCGAAAAGAGAGATGAAACCGGAAGCGAACGTTGGCAAGAAGAGGGCGAGGGGTGGTGCACTAATGGAAGGTTCAAGGTGCAGTCGTGTTAATGGAAGAGGATGGAGGTGTCTTCAACAAACCTTGGTTGGTTACTCTCTCTGCGAGCACCACTTGGGGAAGGGAAGGTTGAGGAGCATGACAAGTGTGAGGAACAAGTCCATTGGCACAACAACAACAACAACCACTGGTGCAACAAAGAACAACAACAACAACATGGTACAACTCGAATCTTCATCATCATCAGTCAAGCAAAGAACAAAGGGCGGCAATGATGCTGAAAACAATGATGAGAAGAAGCCATTGATGGTCACAAAGAAGAGGATGAAGCTTGGAATGGTGAAAGCTCGATCTATAAGCAGCTTGCTGGGACAAACCAACAACACTGAAATTGTGGCCGTAGCTGTGGATCATGATCATGATCATGATAATGATATTGATAACAAGTAAGGCGAAGAAACTAAGTGCACAAAAATTGCTATTATTTCATGTATATCTGTGGTTGAAAATTATTTTAATTATGGACCTTGTCTTATATACCTACCTATACATTGGTGCAACTTCTTCCTAACAATTAAACTTGCATGGATGCTGGTTTGATATTCCTGATTTAACCTCCGTGTGTTTTATATGTTATCATTTTAATTTCTTCATATTTTTGTAGTCGTGGAGTGTTTTTTTTAATAATTTTTTTTTCATTTTTACCTAAATTCCTCTATTGCGTTGTCTGTGATCGTGAAATTATTATTTAAGCGTATTGGACTGGGTACGATCTGATATTGCAGTTGAATGCAATATTTATACACCCACTTGATTAAATTATGTAATATGGAGAATATACTTCCCCAGTGAACTTGATCATGGTCACCGAGTCTTCTTTGACCAACGAAACATCTTGAACTCTATCACGTGATGAAGTGTTGTTAACAAGATGGGAAGGCAAATAAACAATTCATTAACATTTGGGTGATGAGTTGAATGGTTCTATCGTCATGTCGTCCATGCACACTTGGTCCCAACAATTGCGTACAATTTGATTAATATATCACTGGATTTACGTACTTGGTGTTTTTATATTGATTTTTGCATTAAAGCTTTTAAAATTTCTTTAAAGGCAAGTTTAATGGTTTTTTTTTTTTTTTTTTGCATTAAAAGCTTTTAAAATTTCTTTAAATGCTAGTTTAATTGTATGTGCAGTTTGACCCTTTCATACCACAATCGTATATGCCATATATGCATTTATTTTTGCATATTAGATGCAATCTAGAATGGGGATCATACGAGGTTGAACAATATCTATATGGTTAAATGGAACTATTAATAAAGAATTTATAAACTAATTAATAACATGCATGACTTTTTTCCATAGAGGGTTTTCTGAGATTTTTTTAAAATATTTTTTTAGTATAAGAATAGAAATTTGAGAATTTTAGATTACGCAATTGAAAACAAAACATAGTGGTTAATATTACAATTAATCTCGCATTGTTGTTTGTGTACCTTAATTATGATATTTTAATTGTAATAATTTGTCCTTAGTTTCTGTGAGATAATATATATATATATA